CCAACCTCTTGTTGCTAGGCAATTACAACAAAGCAAGCCCAAAGAGTCGACTCTTTTTTCGTTTTCAGCCATTTTCTCGAAATCCCATTGGACGATCAGGTCTAAGAATAGAATCTTGATAGTGAAAGTGGGTAGGCTGCACACATTTTATTAGAACGCCGAGCCAATCAGAGCTGATCGCCAAAATTTTCATCCATTGCCTAGGCAACCATCTCCATGCCAACCATAGCCATGCCAACCACGTCACACAAGCTGTCAAGTCGGCATGAATTAGCCAAATTGCATGAATGTGGTCAGAGCGATCTGCATGACATAGCATGCCAGCCATAGCTAAGTCAAGCCTAGGATACCATGCCTTGAGGTGATCATCCTAACCAACCTCTTGTTGCTAGGCAAACATAGCAAAGCAAGCTCAAAGACTCGCATTTTTTCTCGTTTTCCGCCAATATCTCGTGATCCCATACGTCGACCGGGGCTATAAATAGAATCTAAATAATGGAAGCGGGTAAGCTGCACAAGTTTGATTAGAACCCCGAGCGGATCGGAGCTGATTTTGAAAAATTTACTTTATTGCCATGGCAATGGTATCCAAGGCAACCTTAGGTTGCCATGACTTCAGGGATCATCCTAATCAAGATCTTATTGCCTAGGCAACCATTGCCATGCCAACATTGCCATGCCAACCACGTCACACGAGCTGTCAAGTCGGCATGAATTAAACCAATTTGCATGAATGTGGTCAGAGCGATCTGCATGAATGTTGTCAAGTCAGCCTAAGCCTGCCAGCTATAGCTAAGTCAAGCTTAGGATACCATGCCTTGAGGTGATCATCCTAACCAACCTCTTGTTGCTAGGCAATTTCAGCAAAGGAAGCTCAAAGACTCGCATTTTTTCTCGTTTTCGGCCAATATCTCGTGATCCCCTAGGTCGATCGGCGCTAAAAATAGAATCTCAATAATGGAACAAGGTACGCCGCACATCTTTCATTAGAGCGCCGATCCAATCGGAGGTGATCGTGAAAATTTGATTTGTTGCTATGGCAATGGTGTGACCTAAGTTATTGCCATGGCAATAGGGATCGCCCTAATCGAGATCTAATCGAGATCTAATCGAGATTGCCATGCCAACCATGTCGCACAAGCTGTCAACTTGCATGAACGTGGTCAGAGGGATCTGCATGAATGCTGTCAAGCCTGCCTAAGGCTGCCTGCCATAGCTAAGTCAAGCCTAGGATACCATGCCTTGAGGTCATCATCCTAACTAACCTCTTGTTGCTAGGCAATTACAGCAAAGCAAGCCCAAAGACTCGAATTTTTTCTCGTTTTCGGCCTATATCTCGTGATCCCATGCATCGATCGGCGCTAAAAATAGAATCTCAATAATGGAAGCGGGTATGCTGCACACCTTTCATTAGAACCCCGAGCGGATCGGAGCTGATTTTGAAAAATTTACTTTATTGCCATGGTAATGGTATCCAAGGTAATCTTAGGTTGCCATGGCATCCTAATGCTAGGTGTCGATCCTTTAGTTGCCTAGGCAATATAAGCGGTCACTTTAAAAGTGGTCACCATAGAAGCGGTCACCACAAGGCGTCACCCATAAAGCTGTCACATTAAAAGCGGTCACCATAAGGCGTCACCCTATAAGTGGTCACTATGAGCTGTCACGCCCATCAGCTGTCACACCTATCAGTGGTCACGTCCATCAGCTGTCACGCCCATCAGCTGTCACAACAAGCTGTCACCTCCATCAGCTGTCATCTCGAGCGGTCACACCCCCAGAGACTGCGAATTTCACATGCTGTCACATGAAAATGGCCTGAAGGCCCCAAAGACTCGAATTTTTTCTCGTTTTCCGCCATTTTCTCGCGATCCCATTGGACGACGGCATCGGAAAAAAGAATCTCCACTATAAATCCAGGTACTCCGCACATTTTTCATTATAACACCGAGCCAATCGGAGTTGATCCTGAAAAATTTTTAGGATGCTCTCATAGTAACTTGGGATTTGCCTAGGCATAACATCAAGGCTAGGATGGCTGTTAGGTGATGTCACCTCTAGACAGTCCGAGTGGGTGCTGAAAAAGATTTGTGAGTCACTCCCTAGTCGGAGTAGATGCTGAAAGATTTTTGCCTAGGCTAACATCTAGGCTTAGGATAACTCCTAGATGCTGCCAGGGTAGGAGCCAGGGTAGAAGCCAGGGTAGGAGCCAGACTAGAAGCCAGACTAGATGCCAGACTAGGTTAACATCTAGGCTAACATCTAGGCTTAGGATAACTCCTAGATGCTGCTAGACTATAAGCTAAGTCAACTTTGCCCTGCCATAACACCTGATCCTCATAATCAACTAGGCCCCAGACAAAAATTTTGACTAGGAACTAAGGTTGCCTCTACAAGTTTACTTAAGACGCCAAGTCGATGGGAGTGGACTGGAGCTGACTTTTTATATAAAAAAGGTAGAACAAGGGGTTAAAAGGAAGTAAGGGTGTTGTCTAACACCTGCGGCCACACAACAGAGAATGCACCGGATCCCGTCTGATCTCCGCAGTTAAGCTCTGTCTGGCATGGTCAGTACTACGGTCGGGGACGACGTGGGAATACCATGTGCTGCAGGTATTTTTTATATTTTTTGACTATGTTTCTCGCCATCTGCTCGATGGATCGAGCTCCAATTTTAATAGCATGCGTCTTTTTTATGCACGGATACTGTATAAAATTTTTGTAGCACGTTAATTAGTACTTGTGTGAAAAATAGTTTTTTCCAGCACACCACAGCAATCACCCCTCCATGGAGCATATATAGACCTCACGGACGAAAATGAACATGCACCTCCTCCGATTGCCTTCATATTTTAATAGCATGTAGCTATTATATATACAACATTGCACGCAAAAAATGACGGTACGTTATTATGTAGCATCACGAGCTACAGACGAGATTAAGTTTAACATGTGCATCATCCTAAGCCTTAGAGCCTCCTAGGATAAAAAACATCAAAGAGGTATCCTAAGCTAGATGTTCCCCAAGATGTTCTTAGGATGAGGTCACATGATCAATGTTTATTTCGGGCTCGATATCTCGTGACCACACATATGAATCGGGTCTGTCATTGAAATCTTACCTATAAATAGGACCCTGGGCTACAACTTTACTTAGAACATCAAGACGATCCGAGCCACTTTGGACAATGTCTACCCCAAAAGCATCGTAGTTATCATACAAAGTCAGCCTGATGGTAAGGGAAAAACATCTTAAAGTGAGTCTAAAAAACATCTTAAAGTTGGCCTAAAAAACATGCTGAAGGTGGCCTAAAAACATCCTAAGGTTGGTCTAAAAGACATCTTAAAGTTAGTCTAAAAGTATCCTAAGGTTGGTCTAAAAGACATCTTAAAGTTGGTCTAAAACTATCCTGAAGGTGGTCTAAAAACATCCTAAAGGTGGCCTAAAAAACATCCTAAGGTTGGTCTAAAAGTATCCTAAGGTTGGTCTAAAAGACATCTTAAAGTGGGTCTAAAAGTATCCTGAAGGTGGTCTAAAAACATCCTAAAGTTGGTCCAAAAACATCCTAAAGGTGGCCTAAGGTTGACCTAAAAGACATCTTAAAGTTGGCCTAAAAGTGTCCTGAAGTTGGACCTATGACTTGGGGAAGACCATGGAAAACGACTTGGGTAAGTCGAAAAAAAGTGACTGGGCAAGTCGAAAAAAATGACTTGAAACTTTGACTTATGACTGGGGCAAGTGGTAGGAAACGACTAGGCAAGTCATAAAAAACCGACTAGGCAAGTGCTAAAAAACGACTAGAAAAAAAGTTCGGTCATTGGTTCGGTCATTTTGAGTTCGGTCATTTGCTCGGTCATTTTTGCACGAGTTCGGTCATTTTTTCGGTCATTTTTGTTCGGTCATTTTTTTCGGTCATTTGTTTTTCGGTCATTTTTGTTGTCAGTTTCGGTCATTTTTCGGTCATTTGGTGTTCGGTCATTTTTTCAAATCCCGATGTACAATACGCTCGGTGGGTAAACCGTTCTGGACGTTTTCCCAACTTTTGGTACCCCAGGATTCATGAGAGGAGGTGGTCGTCTGGAGTCCTCCAGCAGGCTGTCTAATCTCAAACCTTTAGGATTTTACTATGTCTTAGGATATGGTTTGCCTAAAGTCAAGAGGGTAACTACTTGGGTCCAAGGTCATTCCTAGGCCCGAGTTCCCATTACTTTCTGGGGTTGACCAGGAGCCTAGAGGATTTGGTTTGGCAGACATCTAGCAGTTATCCTAAGGGTAAATGTTGGGTTAAAGTCAAGTCATTTTCGCTGGAGCTTGGATAGTTTTGGGTGTATACTCTCATCCCACGCCTAGGTTGTAATGATCTGGGAGGCTGACGGCTTCTATGTTCTAGTTATTTTGCTAGTCATTTGGAGCTGTGAGGGGAACTTGGTTCTCTGCAAGTTAGGCTGTAATTTGGAATTAACTTTTCATTATCAGTCGACTGAAAGGGATCTGTGTGTTGTTGGTCTTTGACTAAGATTCTTAATCTTAACACACTTGGGTGCAATGGCTGCTCTTTTACTCTCTTTTGAGTTGTGAATCTGCGGTCTAGTCATCCTTCGAATGGCTTGATATGAACAAAAGCACTTGGCTTCGGTTCTTTCTAGTCGTCGTAAAACTGTAGTCTGGCAATAGGTGAAACTTCTCTAGGTCACTTCTTTGGTTAACCTTTAGCCTTAGGATGTGGACTTGGAGGGACATTGGTGATAACTGGTTTGGTTATATACCTAGGATGTCTTGAGGCATTTTTTGACTCATAATTCCTATCATGGTATATGCATTGACGTGGCTGATGTTGGGGGAACTCCTGTAGTCTCTCTCGGCCTCTCAGCATGTTGATGCGTTATCCAATCTTAGTAGTTACCTGGTTGATCCTGCCAGTAGTCATATGCTTGTCTCAAAGATTAAGCCATGCATGTCTAAGTATAAGCAATTTATACAGCGAAACTGCGAATGGCTC